GTCTTTCCATCTCACACGCTCATGCACATTCCTCTATTTCTCAACACATCTGAATTAGATGTACCATAGTCCTGACAGTCTGTCTACATCTGAGACATTGTGCCGAAATACTTCCTAACTACAAAAATAAATGACAAAGCCTGATTTCATAAAGCTTAGAATCAAAGGAGAAGTATGATAACTAAACAAATAATTTCAACATGAGGATAAAAATAGTAAACAGTAAAATAGTAAGCCAGAGCTGAGAAGAATTTAAGAAGTAAGAGATCTACTAATAATGATAAGGGCAAAATCATGAGCAAAATGAACTTCGAGGCATCAATGAAAATTCTTATGCCAGAGATGATAAAAATCTTTACGTGTAGAGAGCAACATGAGAAAAGACGCGGAAACCCATAATTGCTGACATGTCAGAGAACAAGTCGTAAGTAAAAACAAAAGAAAGCTTAAATGGTAGAAAAATGACATCATGCCTCATACATTCAACTAATACTGAGTGTCTGTAATACATACAGTAGTCAAGGGACTCGTTCAATAATCATGTGAAAAACTGTTTAAATATTATGCTGAAGATGGAGTTGGCATAAGATAAAGCATGGAACACAGAGTTTGACATTTAGATGTGTCTGCTTTCACTAATTTTTGGATAAAAAGGAGCCTTGCAATCAAGCAGGAAAGACTCATATAATAAACACACGTTCTGTAATATATACCTTTGTCTAAAACAATGGAGTAATTACCCCTGACCATGTGGCATTAGTGAAAAACAAGCAGAAATAGGGAGCTCAGAAATAGACTTAAAGAAAGGAGTCAAATGGGGAGACAGAAAAAAAGAGAGAATAGAGGCGTCTAGGGAATAAAACTATAGGAACTGATAATCGTAAAAGACCAGTTTTTAGATGATAAAGTCACTGCAGAATGAGAGCACAGGATAGACACCATTCATCCATCCAATTATACACAGAGTCGGTGAACAACTGTTAGTGTCTCACATTACAGGAAACTTGCCAGGCTCAATAAAAACAAAAATAAGTAAAACATAGTCTGGCTTCAAAGAAACTTTTTAATCTATTGCAAATCTGTCAGTTGGGAATGAGCAATTCACTGTGATCCAGGAGGATGGGTGTGAACCCAGGACATGGCAGTGCAGAGGAGGGGTATCCACTTCGGGGCAGTCAAAGAAGCTTCCCACCTCGTACCTCTGGGTGGGGTATGATGACCGGCTATCCAAGCGGGGGGAAGACAACATGAAAACAGTGTAAACATTTCACATCGTATATCGAAGCAGTTCCCTGAACCCCATAAATGCATCAATGTACAAAGTTATGATTTACTAAAAAATAATTAATTATAAAAGGAAAAGAAAACAAAGACATTGAGGAGTGGAAAACGAGAAACGCACAGGACACATGAGGGTTCAGTAGTTTTGTTTCTTTAGCAATGAGGTGGGTATAAAAAATTAAACCAGAAAAAAGTAGTTCCTAAAACTTGTCTCATAAATGGGGTTTTAGTTTTAAACTACACATCAATTCTCACGGAAGCCCTTCACCAAAAGATTGGAACAATTAGTTCTTTTCAGAGCTTACCGGTCTCGCTAAAAAGAACATTCGGATGGGCTGTTATTAAGGACAGGGAAGCCGATCAGAAGATTATCATTGCAGTAATCCAAGGAACGATGAAAACTTGAACTAAATTAAATATAGGGAGGACAGGATTCATAAGAAGACTCGAGAGTTAGAATTCCTGCTTTTTGTTGAATTATAATTTGGAAATTCATGTCTCAATCTCAATGTCAAGAAGTGTAGTGTGCACCAGGACGTGGTGCCTGGCTGCTGAGAAAAATGCCAGCTACTCAGAGTCCAATCACTTGAATGTTCTTTTTCTTTTAATAGCTAATTACATATTTTTTTGAGCTTCATGCTTAAAGTTTCCAGATTATAAACTACTGTTCCAGAGCATAGACCCTCAGTTTGCTATTAGTTTCATTTTGCATGGGGTATGTTTATTCACTCAAGGACATTTTTCTTTTCCTACATATTTCTACTATATCTTGGCCGATAGACTAAGAAAGCAAAAGCAGGATTAAACTGTTACCATATTAAAAAATGAACAAATGCACAATTTCCCAACCAGTTTGCCATACTGCCTGTTCTGCTACTGCTCCCCTTAGGTTTCAAGGCAGGCAGATTCTTGGTTGCTGGGCTTGAACCTGAGCAAAGAGGTAGCCCTCCCAGGCCTTCAAAAAAGACAGTGCCATGATTTGCATGGACCTACGAAACTCATGTTGAAATTTAATCAACATTGTGACTATATTAGGACAGTGAGACCTATAAGGAGTGATTAGGTCCTGAAGGCTCTGCCGTCCTGAATGGATTAATAGTGCAGTTGAATGCTATTTTCGAGTTTAAAGGCACTGGTTAGGTTAACTGAAAGCATTCAGACATGGCCTCCATGTGTAGCAAGATAGAAGACCTAAGTTTTGGGAAAATACGAACTAGTATTACAGCACAATGAAAATAAAATAATTCAACCCTTTGAAAGGATTATACCATGCATTCATGTGTTAATTCATTCAACAAAACACATGGAACCACAAGGTGAAACACATGAAGAATATAGTTTCTCCAATTATCTAATTAAAGAATCATTAATTTCTATGACTACAGAAATACATATAAATTCTAGAAGTACCTTAAAAATTGGCTATTACCCACAAAAAAAAAAAAAAAATGTTTGTTTTTTGAAACAGGATCTCACTCTGTCACCCTGAGAGAGTCCTGGAGTCTCATAGCTCACAGCAACTTCAAACTCTTGGACTCAAATGATCCTTTTGCCTCCACCTCCTGAGTGGCTGGGACTACAGGCATGTGCTACCACACCCAGCTAGATTTTTCTATTTTTAGTAGAGACAGGCTCTCACTCTTGCTCAAGCTGGTCTCGAACTCCTGGCAAGTAATCTACCTACCTCAGCCTCCCAGTGTGCTAAGATTACAGGCCTGAGCCACTGCACCCAGCTAATAAAAATATTTAAAGACAAATTGAGCAACTTCCTCAATTCAGTGACAAGAGGAGACCAACGCAAAAGGATTTGGGAGGTAGGAAGAGAATTTAATCGGTATTTCAAGAATCCTCCATTTGATGAAGTAGTGATTTCACTCATGTAGTAGCTGAACAGAAATTTCTGTCCCTTGATGTCTGTGGTTATAAATAGAGGAAAATAAAGATGTCTCAAAGGCATAATTCTCTGTGGGTTGAAGTGCCAGCAAAGTAAACTCCTCTCTCAAACCTGTGAACAATCTTTCCACTTTCTACTGACCTTATGACAAGTAAAAAATTTTATCACCCACCAGAATTTTCAGTTTTCAAAAAAGAAATACCACAAACAATTTGCCCTATATGTGTTCTTAAAACTTTCAGAGAAAGTTTATTTTGAAGGTTCCCAACCGTTTGCACCAGGCTTACGATGTTAATATGTGAGCAACAGCTGCAGGAAAGCCCCTCAGTTCTTACATCCTGAACTCAGCAAGACCTTCTGCTTTCTACAAACATTTCATTAGTATTCTCTAGACTCTTACTCTAATACAGATCAGAATATACTTTTATTAAAAATTCCATCCCATTGGTGAATGGCTATAGGAATATTCAAAATAGCTAGCTTTCTAGAATACAGTATGTCCATGTTAATGGCAACAATGGTATTTTCTCCTTTAATGCCTAGAAATAATTCAAAATGTGTTTTAGTATAAGATGTGGGAAATAGGCTTTAATATTTTTAAAGCCAAAAAGTTATACATTTAATAAAATGTGCATGACTCTATGTAATTATATCCCATTCTTGATAGTAGCTATAGATAAAAATAGCACTTTGTAAACAACAAAAAAGAAAGACATATTATGGCTCACTATTATCAAAACATTAAAATCATGAAGTATATATTGACTTTTATATGTTTAATTTCATCAGTTAAGAGATAACTAAAGACCTTTAATACAGGATTACACCATAACGTGTGTGTAAGCCCTCAGTCCTCCTCCTCCCCACTCAGCCCAGGCTTTGTCTATAGTGTAGACATTCTCGGGGCACCTCATTAAAGGGGACCCTTAAAAGCTATTGAGACAACCACTTGTCTCCTAATACTCAGTTCTTGATCACCTTACTGAGACATTTGACAGAAGTTTTGCAAGTGTTATAAAAGTTACTCTGATTTTAGACACTGGATTCCTATTCACTATTTACTGAGTTCATCAGAATTTCTACGTGAGTAGGAAGTACTGAATGGGAATCAGCTTTATCCAGTTACTTTCTGCTACTGCAGTTCTGTGATAATCTTCTCACTATATCATATTTACATGTGTAATAAGAAAGCCAGGGTGGCTCATGGGTCTAATGCCTTCTTCAACTTCAGACAGTTGGAAAGCAGTCCCCAGTTGCTTCAATCCAAGCAATTGTTCTTCTCTGAATTGTCAGAACAATTAATTTATGACAGTTTAAAAGTATCTATCCCCTTTACCTTTTTTATGTGTGTGCCTTAAGTGTGTGCTCATTTATGAGGAATTACGAGCTTTGCATATATAAAGACATGATCTTAGTTAGAGCAAACTAATTCAATGGATGTTCATAAAATAAATAACACTGTGTAACTGGATATTAGTTTGCAATAACTAAGAAAACTATTTCATTATTCAAACACACTTTTGGTGATATCACCAAAAAATTATCAATCAAAACACTTATCAAAATCACTCAAATATTATTTTTTAAAATACTCAAGTACAATTTACTCTATACCATATGCAGCTGGAGATGGGACTTGGTTAATCATCAAAGGATGAATCCAAATTATTATTTTTTTGTAGAGACAGAGTCTCACTTTATCATCCTCCGTAGAGTACCGTGGCGTCACACAGCTCACAGCAACCTCCAACTCCCGGGCTTAGGCAATTCTCTTGCCTCAGCCTCCCAAGGATGAACCCAAATTATAAAAATGACTTTTACTTACTTGTCTCCAAAAAACTTTCTCCAGAATTCAGCAGCATCTGCTTTTGTGATACGAAAGTTATCTCCCTGGAATTGACCATTGGGAAAGATGGCCTTGATTTCTGCCAGCATGTGGCTGAAGATGAGGGACAGCTTTGTGAGATTTCGTCTGCAGACACACGGGGAAAATAATGAGGACAAAAATAAGTATCTATATGCACTTTTAATGGGAATACTTATTAAGACTAATAATATTGTGTAAATATGAATGTAGGTCTTGGTAGTTGATAATGAATCTCAACTTAATGAAGCCCCTAAAAACAATGTTCACGAAGCACAGTTAAATCCCTAACAAGTTTTTGGCTTATTATTCACTGCTGTATTCAGTTAACATAAACATGAACAAGATAAATTGCATGATACTGAGCTCGCAGTTTAGTGGAACATATGGACACTTAAAAACATCACAATCAAATATAAATGCCAACACAAGAGATAGGTGACTACTTCTGCCTGGAGGAGTAAGGGAAGACTTGCCCTTAGAGGAGCAGGACGGTAAAGCTCCCCTGTGACACCTGGATGACCTGAGTGGAGAGAGAGGGAGGGAAGAAAGAGTTATCCGAGGCTACAAAGACAGTATGTACAAAAGTGTATAGGTAAGAAACAGATCTAAGTATTTGTATAATATAATACCTATGTTTGGCACTGCTGGAGCAGAACAGAAGGAAGCAGGGGAAAAGGACATGAGACATGTGAGAAAGTCTGGCTGGGACATGACGTGAAGAGGCATCAGAGACAATGGCAAAGTCTGTCTCAAATATACTTGCCACTTATACCTAAAAATCAGATTTCTGATGACAGGTTCTCGATATGTGCATACAGTGAAAGCTCCCCGGACACCTTACAATGTGTTCCTCTCATTAAGAGATATTGCTTTAAGGAATGGGAGGCAAGATGGATTCAAGAGACAGAGGGCTTGATGAAATCTCTATTTTAGGAGGAAACATTTGTGGCAGTATGAAAAAAATGATTAAGAATGGAGATGCAGGTGTCACCAGTATTCTAATTTCTATGTTAGTTTCCGGGATTCTGACATAATTTAAACATGCTTCCTACCTCAAAATAATACTATCAATCACCTGTAATCCTTCCTACAATTCCTTAAGTTTACAATAGTATGTTGTGAATCAGTCTAAAACTGTCTATGCTACACAGAAAAGAAGCAACTGAAACAAAGAATACTCCAGAATTTTTCAGTTTTAAACTGACTGTGCTTTTTATATTCCTGTTTACTCAGAATGACCAGAATTCAATGGTATATACTGTGTATCTACATGTATTTCCATTCTAAAGCTTCAGCTATTTATATGTGTGTCTGTTGGGAGGTGGAATGGAGGCAGTTGCTTTAAGGCTCAAAGAAAATGTAGAGGAAAACTTACACGGAGAAAGCTATCAAATTTACAACCTGTAAAACCATTTATGTACTAAAAGGCCTTTGTCACTGAAAGTCGTGGTACTTTACCCAATATTTACTCATGTTTCCATGTTTAATGACGCTCAAATACAAAGCCATGTTTGTTACTAAAGAGATCGTGTAGTATGCACTTGTCAATAAAGTCAACAGGCGTCATTCTTCTCAAAACATTTACAAAAGAAAGACAGAATTTCCCAGGTACTACCATGAATATAGAATATACACACGATAAAAAGTGGGAAAAGTAGTAATGAAGAGAAAATAATACAGTATAAAGTATTCTATAATATTAGTAAATTTTATCTCCATTACAAAAAAAAGTCCCCCATTCCCATAAATCTTCTCACAGATTTATGAAAATGCAAGTCAAAACTTAGGTCTTATTTTAGTGTTTGGCATGCAACAATAAACAACATGAAAATGCATGGTGGTTACAAAGGCTCTATCGTGTTCTTAGGTTCAGTAACACTTCTGCATACTTCAACCTCGTCCAAATGCAAAATCGCTGTTAATTAACTGAATCTTTAACATTGATCTGATTTCCTAATTTATGTCACTGTCTCACTTGGATGATAACAGATATAAGATATCTAGTCTTAAAAAATAAAAAGTGAACTATTACACCAGATCAAAGGAAAGTCTTGTGGCAATAAAACTACAAGTGACTTTTAAGATTTGAGTTTTAAGGAAAACATAAAGTCATTTTAGGAAATCTGCAATGAATTTATTTCTATAATTGAGAAAGATTTAATTTTCTAACAAACTTAAAATTGATACATACAGAAGAATAAAGGAAAATCAAGATGGCTATAATTAGGGTAAACCAACTGTTCCTTATTTTCTCAATTGGTTGCACTCCATCCCCTTGTTTCTTTGTTCTTTAATCATATCCAAATGTTTTTCATTTTTACTTGATAGATCTAAAATCTGGCATACAATGCCAATGATTACCCATCTTGGATATGTGATTTACTGGTTATGTAGACACTAAACTTTAAAATAGAAATAGTAATACTATAATTAATAGTCTAAAAGCTCTAGTAACCAATAGTACCTACATAACCAATCACTTGATTATAAATGTGTATGTAGGTCCAGCTTCTTGCCCCACATTGTGGAGCCCTATGTATTTATTTTATTTTTGTCTAAACTAAGGCAATAAAAACATACATTTTTGCCTTAATCTTGAAAGAAACGCAAACTCATGTTAAAATTATTTGAATGCATTAGTGGCATATGACATATTTATTTTATGTTTGTACACTACACACCACATGTATGTAAATTACCATTTTGGAAACCCATTGTCAAAAACATAGAATTATAGAGTCTATAATCTACACCAAGTGTGGAAAGAACTGACAGCTAATTCTGCTGACATTATTTGAAAATATTATTGTACCAAACACAATTTCTTTTCTATGTGTTTCTGAGATTTCTTTTTGTTCTTTGTATTTTTCTAAGGAGGATATGTTTTCTTTAACTGTACTCTGAACCCTATATGTATTTATTTCTTTAAATAACCTCCAATTGGAAGGAAAAAACCCAAGAATACAATCATCTCTAATCGTCCGGACATAGGGGGAAGAAAGGCAAGAATAATGCATCTTTGTAGATAAAAGGGTTTTTTCCTATCATGTAATTTTTCCGTGCTTAGTCAATTTTCCTTGTGCTCACCTGATTTCTCATAGGCATATGACCAAAAATAATGACTGTAATAAAGAATTTGATGTTTACTAATTGAGAACGTTTCTGTCACTAAAACTCAAACCAAAAACAACTTGATAGATAAAAAGTAGTTCATAAAGAAAAGACTCAATAATCTTAAAAATACAACCTTAATTACTTTTACATGGAATTTTTTCCACATTCTTCTTTGACTTCCAAGAGAAGCTACTTATAATTACATATCTACCAACATAAAGTAAGCCATTTATTAGGGTGTCTTGCATGGGATTTTCTTTAGAAGAAATAGTCTCAGAAGAAAAGTATTTTGAAATACCAGGTCATCTAAAGATGTTAATATTGGACAAGTCTTGAAAAGGGGAGGAGGAAGGTGTAAAAACATAGAGGGCCAGGCGAAGGAAAGCTAGCTACATTTAAAAAAAGAAAGAGAGAGAGAGAGCTGAGACAGGGCGTCACAATGTCAAGAAGGTCACCTACAGAACAAAGTGCCTCGTTTATCCCAAATTTAATCACTTATACTGCACTTCTTTAAAATGGTATGTACCAATTTCCCCAAAGTCGACTCAAATGGTTGGAGTTAAACTAAAAGGCGGAATTCAGTGAGTGTGAAACCAGCATGATGATTCTGTTAGAGTGATGGCGCTCCACTGTCTATGAATGAGCCTAGCAGTTTAAGAAAGTGCAGTCAACTAAGGTTTGATGACAGACAGCAGGAAGCTACCTTTAATAAATGGATCACAGCAGGAAACAACAAGACACGGAAGACATTGTTATAATACAATGTGGCAGGGGAAGTGTACCCTTGTTCTAGCCATCTTGACTTGAATTTAATTAAAAAAAATGAATAGAAAATATATCAAGATTTGATTAGCAGCCTCCACTAAATGTGGGAGACACATTAAGAATGTAATCTAATTAGATTGCATGAAGTCCTTGCATTTTCTTCATTCAAGAAACAGCTGTGTCATAAATCAAGGAGGAAATAAAAAGCTTTAAATGGTGAATTAGTGAAAAACTTTAAATGACATTTTATTTTTCCGTAGTATCTAAAGTCTATGAGAATGTACTGCTTTTGGCAGAAGAAACGGTAATCACGTTTTTAATCCCAAAACTATTAATAATCCAATTCTCATACTTACAAGCTAGGAACATGCTCTTCTTTACAAGGTGAAACAAATTCAACATAAAAAGAAAGACAGGACATAAAGAATACAAACAGGAGCGCTTAAGATGAGACTCACGTCCAGTGAAAGAGCAATTTTCTCTGTGTTTCTGACGGAGTGCCCTCCAAAATGGGTGTAGAGAGTTACATCACACTGTTTCCGACCTTGGGAACATTGTGATACCTCAGTAAGTAAGCAGACCAGGCTGACATTAACCTTTCCTTTCATTTTTCCCTCATGGGAATAGAAACTATTATCAAGTTGGGTCTCAAAAGTCTTAAAACCAGATCCTTACCTGCTACCTCTGCCCTAATGCTTTAAAATTGTCAGTATCCATAAGAGGAGTACAATGCAGGCATTAACAAGTCCAAATCCCAATGAGGAGACAGAATTTACTGAAAGTCACAGAAGAAGTTCAGGAGTGTGCCATAAACAATCTGCCCTGAGAAGCAGGAAGAAGGACAATTTTTAAAAGTACTCCATTTTAGTTCATGGATATTGAACTGCTCGCTTAAAAGGAATTTAGTAAATGAAGCCAGTCCAAAAAATTGAACTGAAATAGGCAAGAGGAAGGTCTTAACATTTCCAGTCCTAAAGAATACAGCATCCACCATTAGTATGGGTAGGGAGGCTAATCCCCAAATTTGGGCTAGCAGAGATGTACCTCCCATGAATATGTTATCTATAAAGGTTAATTAAAAGAGACTATACCTTAAAATAAGAATGCTATTTACAGAGCAAATATATTTACCTTCTAAAATAAATACAGCAGAACCTCTACAAGTTGATCACCCAAAGAATAGTAATGAACTGATCAACATAAGGAACTAGGCCTACTGTACTGAT